CAGGCGGCGAGCAAGGAGCACCTGTACAAGCTGCTGGTCATCGGCGACCTGGGCGTGGGCAAGACCAGCATCATCAAGCGCTACGTGCACCAGAACTTCTCCTCGCACTACCGGGCCACCATCGGCGTGGACTTCGCGCTCAAGGTGCTTCACTGGGACCCCGAAACCGTGGTGCGCCTGCAGCTCTGGGACATCGCAGGTGAGAGCCGGGGAGGGAGGCCGCGGGCGGGCGGGAGCGCGTCGCAGCCGGTTCCCAGCCCCGAGGCAGAAGGGCCGTGGCCCAGGGGCAGAGCCGGGTCTCCCGGGCGCTGCGCCGGAAGAGCCCTTCCCTGGTGGGTTGGAAACTTGGTTTCAAAGAAAACAAAAGTTTCTCGCTCCAGCTGAAACTGGCTGCGCGTCCCGCGGCGCGTGGAGCTGCGGCTTTAAGTGCGTCGCGCACCCTCTCCTCCCGCCCTGCGCGGGCCTCTCCGGGACTCGGGGGAGACACGTCTGCAGTTGGGGTCAAGTCTTGGCCTCCAGCTCCTGTTCCGGGCTCCGGCCATCCTGCTGGTGACGCGACCCTGAGTGTCCTGCTCGCCCTTCCGTGCCCAGTCCAACCGAGGGGAAGCCCCTAGATCGGTTCCTGGGAACAGAGAGAGTTCCAGGCTAGAGGAGTTTACCAATTCCTGGCTTCAGTTGCTCACTTTATTCCAACTTTCTTGACTCCCTTTTCTGCCTTCAGTCGAGCGAGTTTGAGGCTGCCTCCTTTGAGGAAACCAAAGACCTTTCTGTGTACTCCTGGGGGCAAAGGATTATTTCTCTCCCTGGCGCCCACACCCCATCTCTATCTCTCTGGCTCTCCTGTCCTCTATCAAAAGGAGTTTGTGTATATAATGCAGGGGCACTTTTGTCCAAGGGTTTATGACATTAACCACAAGATCTCTTGATTTGGTCCTGAAGTTTTCATTGAGAAAACCTGGAAAAAAGAGAAGCTTCTTTACAATGTTTGAAATCAGACTTTGATTCCCAGGGTTTGTACCACGAATTAGGCACAGTCGAATGTGAAGATGCAGAGCATCTACTCCAAGAGCCAGTCCCTGGACTGAGGCTGTTTGCAGCTTGGTGGTGTGCAACTCCTCATTTCAGATCCTGGCTCTGTCGCTCACTCACGTGCTCAGCGGCTTCAGACAAGTCCCTGCAGCTCAGTGCATCCCTGTTAAATGGAGAGGGGCTGGACAATGACAGACAGCTCAGGAATCTTCCTGAGCAGAAGTTTTAAGGTCCTCTGGGACTCTGGTGTGAATCACTTCAAACGGTTACACTTCACCTCTGTTTTATGGTCTGTCGCACCAAGAACCTTCCAAAGTGCTGGACCCAAGCTAGCCGCTTCTCTTTCAGAAAATAGGTTCATTTTAGCTGGTGCATTTGAAACACTTTATCATGGCTTGAAGCAAGAAGAAATGTGGAAAATTTTTGAAAGGGCATTTCTGATTCCGGGATGCTATTGCCTCTTTAATCATCAGCTGCCAGGTCTTATGATAAGACTCTTGGCATGGAGACAGATTCATGCATTTAGAGTCATCTTCAGCAGTTTTAGTGGCACAAGGGTTATCAGAGACCGGAAGATGTCATCAGCCACTATCTGACTGGGCTTTTCATCTAGAAAATCCACTATGAGTCTGTGTATTTTGTTGCATTTTATTATTTATTTATTTTTGAAATATATATTTATTTCAGAGAGAGGAAGGGAGAGGGAGAAAGAGAGAGAGATAGAAACATTNCTTTGTTGCATTTTATTATTTATTTATTTTTGAAATATATATTTAGTTCAGAGAGAGGAAGGGAGGGAGAAAGAGAGAGAGATAGAAACATTAATGATGAGAGAATCATTGATCAGCTGCCTCCTGCACGTCCCTGACTGGGGATCAAGCCCACAACCCAGGCATGCGCCCTGACTTGGGAATCGAACCGAGATCTCCTGGATCCAAGGTAGATGCTCAGCCTTTGAGCCACACCCAGCTGGGCCTTTGTTGCATTTTAGTGTCTGAAAAGTCTCTTGGATGAGTTATAAGTCTCCAGGACTTGGGTTTAGAATTAGCGTCCTGTTTGAAAGAGACTGTAGACATAATTTAGACTTTTGTGTCAAATGTAAGTAAGGATATGACCTCAAGCATGCTATATAATGTCCGTAGGCCTCAGTGTCCTCACCTAACAGGGAAGAAAGAAGGTCACAGTAATTAAGAGCCTAAATTCCAGAACCAAGCTGCTGCTGTCTGAATCCCTGTTTTATCCCGTATGTCTTGAGCGATTTTAGGCAAGTTCCCTAAACTTCTGGTCTCAGTTTCCTTATCTGTAAATAGGGGAAATGCTTTCTCCCAACAAATTAGAGATGAGCAACTAACGAATGTTAGCTAAAGGCAATAGTGTCTTCTATCTAGGAGAGCTGCAAGGATTATTGTTACAGTAGCTACCTTTTCTTCTGAGCATGTATGAATGCTAGGCAAGAAGGAAATGATATAAATGTGCTGATTAAATTCTAATAAATGATGATTCCTATATTATATTCCTGTGTTATATTCCATATAATCTGTTCCAAAATACCTATAGCTCCATTTTTCAGCTTTACCCACACTACAGCATACTGTCATGAGCAGTTCAATTCCTAAGCTTAGAAATGCCTCCTGAGTCATGGTTCTGGACTAAGATTACCATAGAGACTGTAGTCACAGAAGCTTGGGTAGATAAGAAATCTGAGGAGCCTTGGCAAGTCAGCCCTACAGATACAGTGGTGTGCAGCATCTCAGTAGGGGAGGGAGCTTCTTTGTCCCAGAGCTCTGATGTTCTGCGGTAACCTGTCTTCGGCAACCTCCAGCCCGAAGGCCCTGTAGGCTGAGTTAGAAGTTGGGCAGCAGGCAAAGCCAGTTGGGGGAAGTTGGGCCATTGTGGGAAAGGATGTCTGGAGCATAGTACTAACATGTTGCAGGCTGCATAGTTAGCCTTGTGAGGAAAGAATTCATGAAATCCAGCCTCAGCCGCCTACCCAGACTCCAGTTAGCTAAGTGTACTTTATAGTACCTTTAAATCACAGCCTGACTTTTCAAACAGAAATGCTTCTCTTTGGCCTTTGGGCTCAACTCTGGTGTGTATTGGGAAAGAACAGGAAGTGAGGGCTGGTGGGCCTCCCTTTGAGAGGGTTGGGGGTGTGGATGAGATAGAGACCTGCCCTATCCTGATGGGGTATCAGATCAACCTGCAATAGAGGGAATCCTTGCTCAGTTAGACTCCTGATATTCCTTTGGCTCAATGCCAAGTGGGACGCTATTTGTTGGACAGATTCTCATGATAGCTCTCCTGTGGCCCCTTAGGCTGGCCAGTCTGATCCAGAAAGGAAGTACCTTTCAGGGCTTGTGAACTTGGCCGTGAAACCAATGTGATAAATCCCACAAACCCCATAGGAGAGAGCCATCACCCAGGGTCCCAGTGATTACACCCTCGAGGAGCAGCTGGGCCAGTTGTGGGTTCAGAAGCTCTTAATAGAAAAATTGCATTGCTTTGCCCAAAGCCACCCAGCTAATAAGTTAAAGAACCAGAGTTGACCCAGTTCTGTCTGGCTTGGAATCAAGCCATGCTGTTTATGGCCATAGGCGTGTGACTGCCTGTTGTACAGGTGGCCCAGCCCACAGGGGCCGTGCCCTTTTCCCCTTTGAAGGCCTTGCTGCTTCAGGAGACGGTTAACTTTGCCTTTTTCTTCCTATTTCTAATGGGCTTTGGGTATTATTCAGTACCCTTGTGCTGACAGTGGAAGGAAATGGAATGAAAACATATTTCTGAAACTGTGATTCTTGGTTATAGTTTTTATTCTTTTTACAGTTTTATCAGAAAAACAGTAAACAAAAAGTTCACCCTCAAGACTCTTTTTTTCCTATTCCTCTCCAAATCCTAATGCTATTAGGACTTTCAAAGAGAACTGCACAATTTTCTCTAGAGCTCTTGATGTGCTCTGGGACTTGGCTGTAGGGATTGGGACAGAGTAATGGTAGCTAACATTTCTTAAGCATTCATTCTTATAATTGTACACACATGTTTAATTTTTAACTTCCCAGTAAAATAGCCGTTTAAGTGGTAGTGCTGGAATTTAAAACTTGGCCATTGAATCCAGCACCCAGGTTTCTAACAGCTTTGCTCTACTTTCCACAACTTAAAAATGGAATACTTTAGACATATTCTAGATAAATAATAAATTATAGATATTATAAATATATTATACTTGACATTGGACAAGCCATGAAACCTTCCTGGACCTCAGTTGCCACATCTATAAAATGGCAATTTCTAAAATTTTCCTGTGATATCATATCTATACTACCCTATCTCTTGTCATCTCTATCAGTTTTAATATATTCTACTGTGTTCAGGTAGTGGGTGGTCACTTATCTCAACTTCTTATTCCAAGTAACTTGCGCAAGTTACTTAGCTTTTATGTCTTGGTTTCCTGTATGTAAACTGGGGACAATAGCAAAATCTGCATCTTAGAGTTGTTAAAAGGATGAAGTGAATTAATTCACGTGAAGCTGTGCCTGACACAGAGTAAATGCTGAATAAATTTTAGCTATTACTCTCGTTGTTTTAATTGTTATTACAAACTATTTTCACCTATGCTTTCCAGCTTGATCTTCCCAGCATCTCTGAGGGTATAGACAGAGAGTTGGTGTTAAACCTGTTTTATATTAGAGAAGGTTAAGAGTCAGAAAGGCAAAGGACTTGCCCAAGGTCACAAGAGCTAGCAAGTGGCCAAGAAAAACAGGAACAGCAGAAAACCCAATTCTAGATTTAATCAGTATAGTGGAAAATAAAATTAAGTTGACAGGTAATTTAGAGAGGGCTTCTTCACTATGTGAAAGTTTCACTACGAAATGATCAATGCCTCTAAATATTTAAAACAAGATCCAACTTACAAGAAAAATATTTTCCTGCAGGGCACATCTGTACTCTTTCTCAGCCTAAGCTGTGTGACGAGAAGCATTGGAGAACATTAACTATCCAACTGGCAGAAGGAAAGAGGGAGGCAGCCTCTTCCTCCAGTTTTTATATGTACCAAAGTGAAGTTTATCTTCCCAGGACATCACTTTGGTGGCTCTGCATTGCCTATAGATTATATACATCAAGAAGAGAGGAATAAAAGTGCTGGGAGGGCTCAAGACTAAAAGGGGACAGATTCTA